GATAGTACAAAAAACGCTAATTGTACAAAAAACGCAATATAGGTATAAACCGTATATATAATTGTACAAAAAACGCATATACAATTTTTTGTATTTTTTTTTGTTTTTATATATATTCTCTTTTTTTTTGTTTTTATTTATAAATAAAAAACAAAAAAAAGAGAATATATATAGAAAAAAAGAAAAAATACATACAAAAAACAATTTTTAAATAAAAAAAGGTACAAAAAACCAACGCTAAGCAGTCAAAAAAACGCAGTGTTTTTTTTGTATTATATAATATATATAATACAAAAAAAACGAAGAACGCAAGTGTTTGGGACCTTACAGCCCAGTCCCAAACACGCGGAGTAAAACCTTTAATTTAAGCCGCGATGTTGAAGATACTCGGCATTTACGCCTGCTCGAATCTTAAAGGAGGGTTCCAAGTAGGTTTTCGCTTTCGAATAAATCTCCAATTATTCGCGCGGCACCCAGCAGCCTTCGCTGCGGGCCTCAGCTTCGCTGATTGATTGATTGATGGACCCTGGGCCACTAAAAAGAACCTCCTTTAGCTCGGTTAATGTTCGTAGGGGAGTTCTTTGGGCGAATAGTGCAGTTACTCCTCGAATAGGAGTACCCGCAGCTTAATTTAATACATGAATCTTGAACATAACCTTAATAATAGAATTTCTTTCTGACCTCTAAGTCTAATGAATCGATTTAGGCCGCCCGTCAATTTGAGAGAGAGGGGCCCCAGTGGCCGGGGTTTTTTAGTGAAAATCGCTAAGCTATCACCCGCCTGCTCTCTTGCGTTTGGGGTTGGAATGGCCCTAGCGTGTTTTGTACCGTATTATATACGGTTTATACCGTATATAATACGGTACAAAACACGCTACATACACCCTCGTGAGTCGTGAGTGGCGGCGTTATTCGGTCGTTTTTGCGGCGTTACGCCTTAGCGTTTTTTGCATGTTAGCGGGTTTTGTATGTTTTTGTTTTTACCGTGTTTTTTCTATGTGTTTTCTATAAATATATTTCGTTCTTTTTTTGTTTTTTATTGGTTTATTCACTGTTTTTTATATATATATTCCTCGTTATTTGTTTTTGTTTTTATTGGTTTGCATTTTTTTTTATATATATTCTCTTTTTGTTTTTATTTATAAATAAAAAACAAAAAAAGAGAATATATATAAAA